TGATTTGCTAATTGAGATTTCATTTTATACACAAAAAAAACTGAATAGAATTTTTTCAAAAAAGGATTGGTTTTGCTTGAAACTTTCCACTTCCAAGGTTTTCGGGATCGCTGACTATGAATCTATAACTTCATACTCAAGAATTTTCGGGGTCACTGATTACGAATCTAACACCAATTTTTCAAAATTCAAGATGGTGGAATACTTTTGAAAAATTGGTCAATTCGATTAAAATTTGGAAATTCTGCTCAAATCCCTAGAGTTAAAAAATTATTATAACACTAGTATAAAGATTCCTTTTGGTAGTTAATCATTTTTTTACACAAGGTAATATTAAAAATTTATTTTATTTACATTTTTTCAAACAGAAATTTTAAAAATTTTTTTAATTTTGAATTCACACTAATTTAAAAATATTAAATTGGTATACTGAAAATATCAAATTGATCCAAATTTTTTATATTAATTTGATATTTTTGGTATCAATTTCATACTTGTCAATTAGTGTTTTTTAAGATACCTCCAGTTTTTTTTCTTTTAATACTACGTAAATTTTAAAAAATTTTGAATATTTTACATTTCAGGTCCGACATTCTGAATTTTTATAATCTGAAGTCAGATTGGTCATCAGCGACCCTAAAAACCCTCGAGTAACGAATTTCAACTGAATTCGATCAATTTTTAAAAAATTTGTCTGACATATTGGTTCCGCCATTTTGAATATTAAAAATCTAACTGGAGATACATATTTACTATTTATCGACCTCAAAATCCTCCGAGTAACAAGTTTCAGGCACTTTTGAATAAATTTCAATTTTTGGCGCGAATCTGAATTACCGATAGCGCATATTATGAGAGAATATTTTCTACTCCTATAAAATTATTCATCAGCAGATATAAAAAAAATACATGTCTCATATTTTTCGGCATAGAATATATGTATACAATATACTGAAATTTAGAATATAAACTTTAATATTTTCGGAATTTTTTAAAATTTTCGAAATTTTGAATTTTTTAAAATATCTCCAATGTGTTTTATACTACGTACTTTTCTGTATTTTTATGGGCTGATTACGAAAATCATAGTAACAATACCCAAAAATTTGATTTTCATAGGGAAAACCATAAAAAAGTCCTAAAATTTTTTATTTTTTTCGTTTATTGAGTTAAATATACAAAAATAAAAAAAAGATTTTAGACAAAAGTTGTAGATATTATTGAAATACATTTTTTGAAAATTTTTCATATTTAACCCAATAAACGAAAAAACAACAAAAATTTCAATTTCATCATAAAAAATCAAATTTTTGAATATTGTCACTATGATTTTCGTAATCAGCTCATCAAAATACATAAAAGTACGTAGTATAATACAAAACCGGAGATATTTAAAAAAAATTCAAAATTTCTAAAATTTTAAAATTGTTGCATTTTTCAGAAAGTTATGAGTATGATAATAAAATTTGAAAAGAATCATGAAGCTCTTTTTTGGTGGGTACAAAACGGTAAAAAAATTTGAGCCAAATCAAAGAGATCAAAGTCGACGATATATTGGTTTGGCATGGAACTCCCCATATATTCTAAATGTTGAGAATATATTCTAATTTTAAGAATACTACATACTGAATTTAAGTATATAAAATATTTTAAAATAGGTGCCAAGTATATATATTATAAATTTCAAAATATTTTTTTTCATTATAAAAGATAACTAAAAAAAAGTGAAAAATGATCGAACAATATAATTTCAGTGTTTTTTTTATATATACTTTTCCTTAAGGGGCTTCAATTCCCCCACTTTCACCTATAACAAAAAAGAAGAAAGGCTTTTATTAACCGCATAAGGGAATACACTTGTTTCAGTGATTTTAAGTTACATATATATATATACATATATGTATTATTGAGTTTCTATAGTAAAATTGATGCAGCTCGCCTGGAGGCATATACATTAATCATCGTGTTAGTCAGAGCCGCCGCCGGCGTGTTTGAAAGTTTTCAACATTGCGACGCAAAGGCTTCAAAAGTTTTGTTAGAAGGAAGAGTGGGTTAATTTGTCTTCCTGCGATCGATCTTAATGTGAACCACGACTTCCTCAGAGCCGCGCATCATGAATGATTGTTTGGTTACACTAGATAATTATGTAATGTTGAGCCGTGACTATTGTACATATATATAGTTATAATGATTTAAAAAATAATGCTTTATATGATTTCCGACAAAGTATGGTTCATCAACACCAAACAAGAAATCTAATAATGACTATTCTCCAAGAGAGAGATATAATATATATATATATGTATTATGTACGAATATGTGTACTGTAACAGCTGCTTCGAGATAGATCATTAGGCAGTTGACTTGATTTAAACTTGTGTAATTATTGCCGCCGAGTTAATAACCTTTCAAAGATGCGATGAAGAAGGGCCATGTATAGTCAAAGAAGTTGCGTTCGATATATTTGATCTGTCTTCGAGACAAGAAATTCAACGATGTCGAGGACGAGAAGAAGAACGACCAGAAGGTGGTGGAGACTTAATGATGCCGCATCCGGGAGTCGTCAGGACATTGTACCTTACAAAAAAAGATCTTATAACGCGTTCACAGCTGGACCCGCATTTTCGAATGCGTCCGATCCATTAAAAGCCTGCCGCAACATCAATAATTTTCTATCTTCCGTTTAACTGTACACAATTTTCGCCAAGTCACTATCAACGTTTTCACCTTAAAACACTTGTATAGAAATTTAGTCAATTAGTAGAAAAGAATTTTTTTTCTTTTTTTTTGTAACACCCGTTTTTAGAATGATATTAAATCACTAATGAAGCAATACTATTATAGAAGCAATTATTAATTATGATTTGCTCTTTGTGAAAAAATTAGACAACAAATGAAAGGAACAATCACATAACTTGCGGTAGCCCTAAGGTGATGCGAATTGTATAAGGCTCCCGGGCTGTAACCTAATAAAGCAATTTGTCACGGTGCCATACATTAACGCACAATCTTATGTTGCGCAGAGAGTTGACTGTCGTCTCTTATTCTCGCACTTCTGAACTTGGACCATGTCTTGCGCATTCGCTTTCTTTCATTTCAGTCTTTTGCCGCGCCCACGAAAAATTAAATACATTTGTCATAGGAAAGCTTGCACAGCAGTTTTTATTTTTAATCTTTTAATTAATTTTATTTCAAGCTGAACAATTACATTATCATCTTTAATATATATGTGACGCATGAAGAAAGGGGCCTAAGAACCAAACGAATTATAGGTTATGTTTACGATACTTTTACTTTATATTTATGTCTAACCTCAAAAATTATAATCTTGATATTAATTAATCTATTATTAACCCCTTCGCAGTCTTGTAAAAAAATTATTTGTGGGCCCAAAACGGTCCAAAGAAATGTCATATCATCGTATTAAAAGTTTTTGGGGTCGCTGAATCCAAATTTAAGGTCAGATTTAAAAAGTTCAAAATGGTGGACTTAATATGGCGGAAAAATTTAAAATTGATCGGATTCGTTCAAAATTTGGTACTCGGGGGTTTTTTTAGGTCGCTGAATTCAAATTAGAAGTTAAATTTGGATTTAGCGACCCCAAAAACCCCCGAGTACCAAATTTTGAACGAATCGGATCAATTTTAAATTTTTCTGCCATTTTGAATTTTTTAAATCTAACCTCAAATTTTGATTTAGCGACCCTAAAAACTCTAAACTAAAGGAATTATTTTTATGCAAATTTATTCAATTTTTTAATTTTTTTGACGCCATATTGGGTCCGCCATTTTTAATTAATGTTGCTTACAAAATATTCTAATTAAACATAAAGAGACGCTTGCTTTTCACCGAACAGACAAAATGTCGAATGGGAAGTTGTCGAATGGACAAAATGTCGAAAAGCCAATACGTCGAACAGGCAAAATGTCGAAAAGCCAATACATCGAACAGACAAAATGTCGAAAATCCAAGATGCCGAACAGCCAATACATCGAACGGTCAAAATGTCGAAAAGCCATAACCTCGAAAAGCAAAGATGTCGAACGGCCAATACGTCGAACTGACAAAATGTCGAATTAGTAACAGTTTTGACTAATTTGTAGTAAAAAACTACTAATTGCTAGTAGAAAACTACTAATTCATGTAGTAAGTAGTATTTTTTACTATTTCAAATTAGTAAGCCGATTTACCCCATGAATTAGTAGTTTTCTATTAGCAATTAGTAGTTTTTTTTACTAAAAATTAGTCAAAACTGTTACTAATTCAATCGGTATACGAATACGCACTCTTTCATTAGTAGAAAACTACTAATTCAGATTTAGAGAGTACAATTAATTTTTCCATAAATACAAATATAATAATATTTTAGAGAAATTTATAAAAATGTGTAATAAAAAATAAGGAATTATTTGATTCTTAAAATGTATCTGTAATTTAATGTTTTTTTTTAATTCAAAGAGATAACTTGCACTTGCTAACATTCCTACCGCGGCGTAAGGTTGAGTTTTTTTTTTTTTATTGATCACACGAACACAACACTGTAAGACTATTATAAACTTTTTACTTGGTGACCCTGATGACGAAGAGGAAGGTAGAAAAAGACGTAAAGAAGGTTCAAACTTGCTCTGTGACGCCGCGCTTGTGAAAGACTATGAGGTTCTTGTACCACGAACGAGTATTCTTGAGGTGCGAGACTTCTGTGATTGATGGTCCCTGGAACTCTTCTCATATATTCCCTTAATTTTCCTATATCTTTTTCTATAAAAATTTTAAAATGCGTTTAATAATTTTTGTTATAAATACATTTTTCTCTTTTTTTAAGGAATGTTTTTTATTAACAAATTTTATCAACTGACATAGATTATATTGTTTAAAAATTAAAATCTGTTTTAATTAATTAAAATTAATTTTTAACTTTATTTCTATAAAAAATATCACAGTCACATAAAAAAATTTGTTTATAAAGCAGAAATTAAACTGAATTTTTCGTATGTATTTTACTATTTTGACCTGATAAACACGAATCTGAAGTCTAAAAACTTTTGGATGAATAAGCTCTAAAATTAATTTGTTAGAATTTTTTTTTAGTTTGGTATATTGTTTATTTATTTTGATCACAGAATAATATAATAAAAAAAAAGAATGATTTTTTTTCACAATTTGAAATCTGTTGGATATTTCTTTCGAAGATTTTCTCAGTGAAAATTTCACATTTTAGTTCAAGGTCATGGAAATGGTTTTGAAGGGTGTTGCATGTCTGCATGTTTGCTTATAAGCGCAATGATGTATCGGCGTTTGGTGGTTAGACCACATTGAATTAAGGGTCAGTCCATTACCAATTTGACCTCGACTGACCCGACTCTCTGTATATTGCGTGTTGCTTGATCCAAACGACATACGCACGTTGAAATGAATGTTTGCGCAAATTTCCTCGCGTGTATATATCTGTGTGATTCACTTATGACTCAAGTATAATTGAAACATTGACCAAAATTGATGAATTGCTGAGGTTGACTAGTTTCTCCTCGTTTCCAGAAAATTGTGTGGGTCGCTTCTAAGAAAACTGAAACAAAAGAATATACGTACAAATTTTAGTTTTATAAGTCCTCTCTGTAGCTGATATAACACACACAAGCTTTATGTAATTTTCTTGTAAATTATAATTAAAGGATATTAAATTGTCACTTTCTTGAAAATTTAACACACAAGATATAAAATTTTTATATACTAATTCTACAACTTGGAGGCAAAAAAATTTGTGGTTTTTGGAGAAATCAATTAATTTTTACTTTTATAAGAAAAAAGACTACTGTTACGGATGAAATAATATAAAATTTAATATTAAACGTTACTTATAAATTGTTTTGTACTTGAAAAGCCATCATGACATGGAATAGTGAACCAGATTGGATTAAATGAAGAAGAAAGAATCATTGGTACAATAAGGGACGAATGTATTGCGTAACGCTGAGATTCGTCTGGTTGTGGGCCCTTAACGCATAACAAATTAACCTCTCGACTTTTATTGCATCAAAGCATTTGATAAGAGTGAGGTCACCCGGTGAAGGGATAGAAAGGGAAAAAAAAAGAAAGAAAAAAATATACATGTACATTGAGACACGCTTCAATAGTATTGTATATACTGTGGCAGAGATATCTTTAAGTACCTACATGCATTTAATGCACTCTTGTCCTATAGGCCCAAAGGGTCATTTCTTGTCCTCCTCTGACCCTTTGAACAGAAACAATTGATATATATCTCTTTCTCTCTCTTTTTTGTTAGTCAAGTATGTTCGCTCTCGTTTGTCACACCCTTTCTCTCTGAGTCAATTTCACCTATACACCTTACTTTGTATCGTGTGACTAATTTTAGGATATTATATAAAAAAAAAAGTTTACGTTTACTATACACTTTACAATTTTCTACCTTTAACTGTATTTCGTTTCAGGAGCATCACTAATGTGCACCGATAAAAAAATATTCTTATTTTGAGAACTACTTTAGCACATTCCTCTTACATTGAGAATAATATTTTCAGAATGAGAATAATATTCTCAGAACTTAAAATAATCTCTTTTGTTTAATAGTATTCCCTCTAATTTCGAAGAGGATTTCCTAAAAATAGCTTTATGTCAATTATGGCGTTGAACTTCAACCTAACCTAACTAATTATGGCGTAACAACACTGCAAAAAGAAGTATCTTATTTAAAAATGTTTTGGTAGCGTTTTCAATACATCAAGACATCTGAAACATCTTAATGTCTTAAAAACGCTACCAAAACATCTTAAAATAAGATACTTCTATTTGCAATGTTTGTAAATTGAGAATTCACAATTCCGCGTTAGAACGTAAATGGCACAATGGGTCAGTTGGACCCGACGTATTTCAAACGTGTATTGTACAGCCGGTATTGAAAATATTTTTGCACAAAAATTTAATCTGAGGTAGCTTATAATGTGTTTTTTTAAATGTAATTAGTTTTACAGGGATTAATTTATTTTAAGTTTAAAAAAAATTGTGAAAAATAAAAACGAAAAATTGTGTGTTTCTACTTAAAAATTCATGAGTTATTTAAATTTTAATATTACAGTGCGGTCTCGTAACTGCAACATTTGAAACTGCAACAGTTTCGTTACTGCAACACCCCACCTCGACCACCGGACTTGAAACTGAAACGTGACGTCGGCAGCTTTCAGTGCCGTATTCAAAGTGAAAGTATGAAAGTAGTCCGTTTTTCAGGGGTCTTAAATTTTCTCGCGTATAGTAGGTATGTACGTCCCTGAAATGGTAGGTAGTGGGATATGTTGCAGTATCAAGTCCGAAAGAGTGGGAAATTTCAGAGAATGTTGCAGTTACGAGACCGCACTGTATGACTTAAAAAATTTAAAGTTATACTCTTGATGTATTATTCTTTAAGGAGAAAATTACCACAACAGCAGGACTGGCAAAGAAGGTATTTATTTTGCAGAATAAAATGTGACGTTTTAGGTTACAATTAAAAATTTATAATTGTTAATGTTTGAAGCTAATTTATTCTTTTGTATCGAATTAGTTATATCCAAAAACTTAGAAAATTAATAAGAATATGTGAAATATATATATATATATATATATATATATATATATATATATATATATTTATTTCTCTGCTACACGCAGAGTTAACTTTAAATTATCAAACTGATACTGAAAATATCAAACTGATCCTAATTTTTATGTCAATTTGATATTTTTGGTATCAGTTTGATACTTTTAAATTAAGTGTGTTTATATGGAATGACAACCACATAACCTCAAAAAAATTACTTCGTATAGTGGAAAATTACAATTGCATAGTGCTCTGAAAATTAAAATCAAAATGATTTTTACTTACAGAAAATTAAAATTTTTTAAATTTCATTAATATTTAAAAAAAAAAAATAATTAAACATTAATTAAAAAAATTCTATGCTAAAGCAAATTAGATGTAGATTTAATCTGTTAAAATGTCGTAAACTTATTTAGATTTGTGAATATATATATATATATAATTTTAATAAAATTTGTTTTCATCGTATTAATATCTTTCTTTTATTGCCAGTGTTTTTATGTCACAGGTTTTATTCAATGGCAATTGCAGAAAATTTCACAATAATTCGCATGTACTGTAGTTATTGCATAAGTTCATGTTTCTCTCTCTCTCTCTCTCTCCCTCTCTCTGTAATTTCAAATACTAGACCAGCTTCTACTTAAAAGCATTACCGCAGCTGCTAGGGCCGTACAATTATATTTGGAGTTTTATGACTCAAACCACGGATGTGTAACGGCGCAAAAATCGCGGTTTTCTAGGGTCTTTCTGTAGAATTCGTGTGCCACGAATTCTTGCCAAGTATACACAAATGCGAATAATTGTGAAATATTCCAATTACATAACAAATATTATTGTTGATTATAACACATTTTGACTATTGAAACAGTAGTATAAAATTTTTATTAAATGTAACTTAAATTTAAATATCCAATTTATATTTCAAATAATAGTAGAAAATATTATTTATATGTTCGTATTTGATGTCAAGAAATTTTGTAAAAAAACTTCAAAAGTGTGGGAATTATTATTTAAAGAAACCACAAATTACTGGACGCATAAATAAGTTCTAAAAAAAAATTTTAAATAATTCAAAAATTTGTTAATTAACGAAATAATATTAGTTATGGAAAAGTCAGCGAATTTTGAAAATGAAATTCTACGGCCACCTTTTTAGATAAGTTGAAATTTATAAAAAAAAAATAAAATTAGAAAATATATAGAGTATTTAATTCAATATCATATAGCATTATTCGGTAACTCCTCATAATCCTTTTCATACTTTGAAGAATTCAAATGAAAGCATACAGAAAGAAGCTATTGAAGGGACAATTAAATGCTCATTGAATAACGTGTGAAGTCATCCTAAATCTCTTCCCATCTAAAATAACTTACCTTAATTTTCACGCGCGTGTGATCTTATTATAGTATTTCTGTTCTTTTGTAAATGTGTAACACTCTCCGACTTTAATACAATATAAGATAACCCCTATATGTAATTTTCGCTGCACTTTATCACAGAGAAAGAGAGAAAGAGAGAGTAGAGTTTTAAGACAAATCCTTGTTCGAATAACTTTTCAAGTACACGCGTTGCTCATAATCTTCATTTTTCAACAAATTACAGGGTTTATAAAATGGTCAATAAAATATTTTTTTAAAAAATTAAAAATATTATATTTGTGACGCGATATGAAGAAAGAGACCTAAGAAACAAACAAATTTTAGGTTATGTTTAGGATTAAAAGTTCCCTTTTATTCACACTGAGAAAAATATTTAGTCAGAGCAACCAAAATTTGGTTGGGCCAACAAAAAAGTTTTGTTGGTATTTAAGCAACCAAACTATTTGTTTAAGTCAACCAAAAAATTTGTTTGAGTGTTTTTTGTTGGCATAACAAAAATGTTTGGTTAGCTCAACCAAATTTTTTTTGTTAGGTCAACAAAAATGTTTAGTTGATTAAACAAACAATTTTTTTTGTAAAATTAAAAATTTGATTCTACCTTATTTCTTTTATTTGTATCTTTTTTATTTATTTCATTACTTATTTAAACTTATTTAAACTAACTGTTTTCTTAAGCTATGAGCTGAGAGCGAATCAAATTATTTGGTTGTCGCAACCAAATTTTGGTTAGGACAACAAACGATCATTTGGTTTTTTAGACCAAACTATTTTGTTCACTGAAAAAAAAATTCTGGTTAGGCTATATTTAACATTACTTTCTAGTTATGTTAACCAGAATTCTAGTTGTATTAACTAAAATTCTCGTTAAAATAACCAGAATTCTGGTTAACCTAAGCAGAATCAAAATGTTAAATATACCCTAACCAGAATTCTGGTTATTCTAACTAGAATTTTTTTTCTGTTTTGTGTTAACCAAATTATTTTGTTGTCGTAACCAAATTTTGGTTGGAATTTAAAAATGTTCAACCAAATAACTTTGTTGGCCTAACCAAATGTTTGATTGAGATAAGTCTACGACTTTGTTTCAGCCAACCAAAATTTGGTTACAAGAACCAAAATTCCCTAACCAAACAATTTTGTTGCAAACACTAAATTTTTTTTCTCAGTGCATGTAAAATAAAAATAAAATATTGAATATTTTAGGTGTTCTGAAGACTCAATGGTTTATATTGAAAGTTAATCATCTTTTTGTATTTTTACTTCTAAATTACATCATAGTACTATGTAAGTCGGTATTAAAACTACACTGAAGAAAAAATTTATTTGATTGAAATAATCGGTTACTTAACTATTATTAAATAAATATTTATTTGATAATAGTCAAGTAATCGAGTATTTGAATCAAATAAATTATTTTTTCAGTGTTTACATAATTGTTTGTTATTATATTTTGCATGCAAAAAATCCTTTTCTTTCGTATTTTTTACATAAAGAAAATTTTTAATTTTTTATTTTACACATTTTTTACAGAGTAATTTTTTTCTATATAGTTGAAATAAGTCTTAAATTTGTTTCTTTTTGAGACCATTTTAATTACAATTTAATACCTACTTAATTAAATAATAATTATAAATATTTTTGTTTTGATATCAATTCTACTATGTATAAAAAGAAAAATTGTGTTATCCCTTTCACTGATAAGTAAAAAATATGAATATAGATACAGAGATTATAAAATTGATACTAATGACTTTTCAGTAATTAAAAATTAGATTGTATTAACGTTAAATTCGAGGGTTCTAAATGTAAATAAAACCATTTTGGAAATGAATAGAAAACATGATAATATAATCTATATATATATATCAAGTAATAGATTTGAGCAGTCGATAAAAAGAGAAATGTAATGTACTTTCAGATTCGTGGTTTGATGATTATCATCGTGTATAAAAGCTTAAGGCGACATCGTTGTAAGCCTCGAGAATGGATGTGAAGAGGGTGAGCTTTGATTGGTCCATTGAAGACACGTGCATACCACCCTGGTGTTAGCCTCGTTACGATCATTCATCGGAATCAAGTGGAATTGTTAGCCCGAACATCATAGGTGAAGAGACACTGAGAAAGAATAAGATAGGTTATGTAGCATATATGTAAATCTACAACATTATGTTACTCATAATGAAAACAATGAGAAATTATATACATATCATGTAAATAGATTCAAAATATCGTTTAACAGTTATTTTATAATTGACAAAACTTTACTTAAAAGTCAGTTAAAATAAATATTTGTCATAACATATTACTTGGAACAAATAAACAGTATATGTGCTGTGTGTAGATAATAATACTTATGTAAAATTATGTAACAGGTATATAATCTCTTGTTAGTATACAGATATTGAAATGGAACTTTTATTAACTTTTCTCTGACTGTAAAAAGATGGTTAATTTTTTTTTTTTTTTTTTTTTTTTTTTTGCAATAAATTCTTTTGAGAGTATAATTAAATTGAAGGACTTTGGGTGCGTTATTCCCACATGATGCATTTTTATACCAAGAGGTTTGTTCTTGTTCGTAGTAGCATGTGGGCTGTGGGCCAACAATGCCCACTTCCAGCAAAACCGCGACGTACTTCACTTCGTAGTTATATATCCGACGGCTACAAAACGTACAAAAGCTGGCCCCAAGAGCACTTGTCGGAATTCGTTCTGGTTACAAGTAGAACGAACTCGGTCGACACTTACCTGCTTTCTCAGTTTCTAAAGTTTTAGTACAAAATCAAGTCTAGCAAACCCTATCTAATCTATATTCCCTTATAATCTCTTTTTGGGCTAATATTTATTTCAATTATTTCAAAATCATTTTTTTACATTTTTTTTCAATCAATTTTTATTAATAAATTATTCATCAATTTTTATTATTCAAATTAATATAAAGTATAATTTTTAAAAAAATTTTTTTGGCAATTTTTTAAGGCAGGAAAGATATATCAAAAAACATTTTTAACATTTCGAAACATCAATGAAGATTTAAATTAATATAATTATTATAAAAACATCTTTATACCGAAAAATTTTATCGTCTTTCAATGTGGCTGTATTTATAAAAAAAGACAGTAAGTACACACTCAGAAAAAAGATGTGTTTGAACCAAATGTACCATTTTTTTATATTTACCCAATTTTTTGGTTAGTTCAAACAAAATTTGTTTAATTCAAATAAATATTTATTTGATCTAAATAACTGTTTGGTTTATTTTAATAAATTTTTTGAACAAAGAAAAAATTTGATTGAGCTAAATAAACGTTTGGTTTATGCAACCAAATGTTTGGTTAACTGTATATCAATGCATTTATTTTGTTGATTTAACAAAAATTTGGTTGCTTCAAACGAATTTTTTTCTGTGTGCATTCATTACTGTTTCCGAGGCGCATAATTATCCCATAAAAATCATTAGTTACAATTTTTATTTTCAAGAATTCTATTATACATACACGGAAAAAAATATTTACCTAAAACAACGAAAGGTTTCACTAGAATAGTAAAAGATTTAATTGGAACAAGTAAAACTTTTGATACTGTAGTGAAACCTTTCGCTGTTCCTGGTAAATCTTTTTTACCATATATAATTATTTTTTTGACGAATTTCCATTTTTTGAATTAGCATTTGACAAAATTCATTTTAAAAGGAATTTTTACTTTACAGAATTTTTCTCTTAAATTTTTATTTAAATGAATTCTAATTTAACCAAATTTTGATTTAACAGTATTCTCATATTTAGAATTTTAAGTTCTTCGAATCTTTAAATACAATAAATATTCAATTTATCGAATTAAAATTTGTCCAATTTTTTATTTGATGGAATTCTTAAAACGCCGAATTTTTATTTATCCGAAATTGCAAATTGCCAAACAAATATAATCGACATTAAGATTTTGGCGCTATTTTTAAAATTTACCAATCACAATTTTATTTATAATTTCTGATTGGTCAATTTTAAAAATCGCGCCAAAATCTTTCTGTAGGTTATGTTTGTTCGGATATTTTCAAATTCGGACAAATGAAGATTGGTCGTTTCAAGAATTATAGGTATCAAATAAAAATTCTTACAAATGAAGATTTTCGGTGAATTAGAAATTTTGATACATTAAAAATTCTTATCACTTAAAATTCTGTTGAATGAGAATTCTACTAAATTAAAATTCAGTTAAATTATAATTCTTTCAAATAAAAAGTTGGGTAAAAAGAAATTCTGCAAATTAAAAATTCTTGCAAACCTAAGTTTGATACTTAAAAATTTTGTTGAATAAAAATTCGTTTAAAAAGAAATTCGGTTAAAGGCTAATTTGAAAAAAAGGTAAATTTTTTTAAAAAAATAATAAAGGCCCTAACATAACCTGAAAAATGATTTTTAACGTAAAGAGAAATTTAATGAAAACTATTTTCAAACAATTTTATAAAGTCTAGTTATTCAATTTTTGGAAAAAATTATGTTAAGTTAAAGTTTTTTGTTAAATACTTATTTTTTTTAATATTTTAACTTTTTTCTTTCAGTTTAGATAAAAATCGAAATTTTATCCAATTTTTATAAACATTAACTTATTTTATTTTTTGAGTCAATTAAATAATATTTGTTTCAAATACATAAATAATTGGTTCAAATACAATTTATTTAATTCAAAGAAAAAGTATTTGGTTCAAGTAAATATTTATTTGATATAAATAGTCAAGTAACCGATTATTTGAATAAAATAAAATTTATTTATTTATCAATTTTAAAGTTTCGCGTATTAATTTTAGTTCAGTTCTACTATGTATTTAGTTAGGCTAACTAGAATGTCGAGTTATCATGTGGCATAATAGCAGACGAAATTTTTTCTTCTAAAAATTGTCTCGTAAAAAGACAATTTTTCCCCTACAAAAGAAAATGTACCCATCGTTTTTTCAGTTATTAAATATTATAGTATTGGTTTAATACAAGTTGTCTAAGCCTTTTGGCAATATAATACAAGTGCAGTACTGCGCCAGTTGTCAACTTTGGCATAATAGTGAAATTTCTGATAGGGTAATAATAATATATTGTTATACCATTGAGAAAAAAAGTCCAAAGAGATTTCTTTTTTCAAACATGAAATGTACAAGAAATATTTTGTCCACATTAATTCTTGAGGTTATATATACATATATATATAAATTTAAAGGAAAATATCTATACAGTCAATCTAATTCGGCTATATATACGTATTCGGATATGAAAGGACATGTACATACGTCGTTATTCGTTCTCGTTCGAAGGGTGAAACAATAAGCGACGAACGACAATGAGGATTTAAGTGGCGACCTCAATGATATGAACTGAACACTGGAATAGAATTCAATTGAATTGAAGAAATAGCGAGAGGGGAACAACTCTCCTTCTCTTGTTGTAGCATTACTGTCGTCGTCGTCGTCGTCGTCAATGTTATAATCTTATTGAATAAAATCTTACACGTCGTAGTTATTGACATTTTTTGATAGGCACAAATAAAACTGTCGATCATTATAAGGCTCGACAATTTTACTTAAGGTAAAATTATAAGAATCATTTTTCAAAAGCCTTTTTTTTCATAATTTTTATTGCTTATTTTACTGTCACAGAAAATTGTCTTAATTCAATTCGATATTAAAATAATATCAAAAAGTTACATTTAATTTAATAAAGTATACTTTCTATTTTATTTAATACTATTTTCTAAATGATATTAAAAAAAGAATCGTAAAAATTGAACTTAATATAAATATATCATTTTTCAATATTGTATTATTAAATTACATAAATGTATTTTTATATACGCTACTTTTTTGTAAATTAATCTATAGTGTAAATAAGCAATAAAGAATATAAAAAGGTGATTTTTAGGAGTTAAATACCATCAAGAGGAAGTGTTACATAATTAATGAACTTGATGATAGATAGCCATATAATCATTTCGTGATTTATTTATCAAGTTTCTCATTATATATTGTTTCACTACAAATATACTCATATATTTGTTATAAATATTTACATTGGCATTATTATTTATTACCAAAAACCTGTTTACATCAAATACTATTCAATTTCCCATTGAATAGCAATTCTAATTTACTTACAAGTTTTGTGCAGTGAAACATATGTTTCTATCACTTGCGTTGTTTTCGCGCCGTATTCAAAGCGACTGGCGCCATCTCTTATCTAAATCGCACACTGTCAGGCAATTTTAAATTTAAATATGTTTGTGTATAAAAATATAACAGTATTTTGAAATATAAATTTGTTTCAAAATTTTTCAAATTATAACTTTTATAATTTCAATAAAATATTCATAATAATAAATAATGTAATCATAATTATTGTATAATAATACACATATGCTTTGTAGGTAAGATTAGACTTCTCATAATAACAAAAACAATAAAACTTATTTATTTCTTTATGACATTTCCATATGAAAATGAAATAGTGCCGGATATTTCGTTTTCAAAAATAGTATCTCTCTCTCTCTACTTATCAGTAGTAACGGCAAGTAGAGTCAGACTGTATACTGCTGAGTCATTTTCTTATTGTACTACTGATATTTAGTATATAATAATATTCTGAATGCTTTTTTCATTTTAATTTTTAAATTAATGTTTAACACTAAACAATCAAAGTGTGTGTAATTTAAAAATATATAAATATATAGTTAGAATATACAACTATATATCTCTACATTTAGAAAACGATGGTATTAAATGAACAATTTCGCCAAAAGCGTGAAAATTATTTATTCAAATGCATATATGCTATATCATTTATATCGTGTATTTTTATTTTATATTTAATCTGCATATTATGCATTTGAATAAATAATTTTCATGATTCTCGAGAAAATATTTTATACTTGATTCAATAATAAATTCTCAATTTACACACGGAAAATAATTAACTACAGATGCTAATGAATGTTAAAAATATTGCTGCAGCAACTAAAATGTTTGCTAAAGCTGCTAAACAATTATATATGTAACGTGTAAAAAAAATCGAAAATTTAAACCTTAGATCAAACTTGTATGCTGTCTTTATATTAATAGGCACACTAAAAAAATTATATTC